ATATCCTCACACATTAAATATCGATTTAAATATAGATTTACCTTAAAAATAGATTTAATATGATCGGGAACAGAATTAAAAATATCTTCTAGTTATTCAATTAGGAATGGACATTGCTGGGCTGCCATCATGGGGCTAGATATCTACTATAACTAATATGTGAATATGCAAATGAGCTAAAAACGCTGATATTGCTGCTGATCGCCATTGTTTTGCGAGCAGTATCTCCTCTCACGCCGCTGGTCCTATTTGGCTCAATTTTTACGGGTTGGTCCACTAGGGGTTCTAATATTACATGGCGAGCTTCGTTTTTCGATTTCTGCCTTGGTTTTTTCGATATATAACATTTTTCTTCGTTATCGCGTTGCCATTGTACATCGCTTCTCATTCGTATAGATTTTATGGAAGAACCCTTTGTCAACGTTTTACAACAGCTTTCCGCAATCCGCAATATAATATTTTTTCTTATCGCGTTGCCATTGTCCATCGCTGCTCATTTATGGAAATTCTATGGGAGAACTTTGTCAACGTTTTTCAACAGCCTTTCGCAATTAGTTCAGAAGTTTTATAGGGCTCATTCATATCTTTTCAGAAAGTTTTCAAAACATTTTTCTTTCTCTCTCTTCAGCAGCGATATCTATGCTCCGACGCCAGTTAAAAAGTACGGAGGGGTGGCAAGGGTAATCAAATAAAGACTCATAAGAAAAATTCTGCACGAAAACTCTTTTCTTTTGCGAAAAGCTTGGCCGCATTTTCGAGCATCCCCACATGTAACCAATATTAAACGAGCCCCACAAGGGCTAAAAGAAATGTAGTGATAAAAAACTTAATCATTGAAATCAGAAAAAACAGTAGAGCTTGAGAGGGTAACCCGTGAAAATACATAAACGAGAACAGCGAATAGACCGGGGCTCGCAAAATGTATTTAAGCAAGTTTCAAACTTGCCTCGATATTGCAACCGTAATACATTAAATCTGTATGCACATTTCAGTGAACGGGAGACTAGCTCCCCTGAGAGCCCCGCTACGCGCGCACCCGATAGCCGCGGCAAGATTTACAAATACCGTAAATCCGCGAAATAATCCCACTCGAGTAAGCCCCCACCCTAGAACTAAAAATTTCAATAAGCCCCCACTGCTACCGTTAATTCTAGAATTGGACCGACCCCCTTATTTTGATGAATTTTTGCCATCTGAGGTTTCCTTTGGCATTTTCTTGAATTGCCACAAAAACTCATACTTTTGGTAATAATTAATTAAAAGCTCATAAAGAAATTCCTACTAAAATAAACGGGATATTTTAATAATTTCTTTTTAATGTCTACAATAATTTTATAAGCCCCTCCCCTCGTATAAGCCCCCCCCCCTCGAATAAGCCCCCATCCAAAAATATCAAAAATAAATAAGCCCCCAGGGGGCTAATTCGAGGGGGGCTTATGCAAGGGGGGCTTACTTAGGTGGTAAACCATTAAAATATTTAAACGAAGAACACGAATAGACCTGGGCTTGCAAATGTTTTGAAGCAACTTTCAATTAACGGAAGACTAGCTCCCCTACGAAGCCCGCTACGCGGGCTTGCCAGTGGCCCTACGGCAGGGTACATAGATTAGCCTCGGAAAAGACAAGAGGTGTATTAACCTCGATTTGAAAACAATTGGCTCCGCACAGGTCACGTGATCAAAAAAATTGCTTGCACTCTTGTGCGCATTAAATTCGCACTCCTGTGACTATCGCTAGGAAGGGGGGAGCCTTAAATAGAAAGGGGGTAGAGGCTCCCCCCTTCCTAGCGATAGTCACAGGAGTGCGAATTTAATGCGCACAAGAGTGCAAGCAATTTTTTTGATCACGTGACCTGTGCGGAGCCAATTGTTTTCAAATCGAGGTTAATACACCTCTTGTCTTTTCCGAGGCTAATCTATGTACCCTGCCGTAGGGCCACTGGCAAGCCCGCGTAGCGGGCTTCGTAGGGGAGCTTCCCTACTAAACATCGAATTTCAGCAGTTCAATTTCCGTTTGCAGAAAACAATTTTCCAAGAGAGCCATTATACCCTTACGAAAAGCGCTCGAAGAATGTGAAAACAAAGCAAGGTAAGGCTTCTCATGCATTTTGCTTCAATTTGATAATATCGATAGTCGTACGTGACATTGAGTTTTAAAAACGTGTAGCTAAGTTATAAACTTTGTGAATACATACATAGTTAAATGTTGAAAGGGGAGAGGAATCACTGCATTAATCAGTCTGCAACCGCGAGTATTTCATTTTTGAAGAACATTTTTCACCCCGTTATCAAATTTTATTCTACCCATTCATTTTGCCGTTGATTTCCACTTGCAAACGCTTAATATTGAGTTTCAGAAATGAGACATCATAATATGCTTGTAATATCTTATAATAATTTAAATTTGTTTGTTTTTAACGATTTACCAATTTATATCGTGGTGATCATGTTTGTGAACAACTTCATCGGTTCAGTTTGAATATGAATGAATGCAAGCCAAGGAACAGAGCGACTTGTTACAAGATAATTATTTTAATGCATGACTGGCTACCTCCTTGATTACCAGTCATAACTATCTGATTACAAAAGTGATAACAGTAAAAGTTTTGCTTGTGCTTGAAAATGTTCCTCACGATTCAAAAAAGTGTCTGTTCTCTGTAGAAAAAGTTACGACTGCACCAAGACATTCAGCCAACAGCGCCAAGCAACGGGCAAAGGTATGGAGCTTGAAGAGCGATTTCTTTGCATTAACTATGCATTGGCAAGGCCAAACGTTTTGTGACATTTAACATTAACTTCAATACCTGCTTAAATTCTCCCGATTTGCATATTATCGTGCCTTCACGGTCATTGAAAATAAGCACACCCTACGCCAATAACCTAATGTTCCTACGCCAGCTTGGAACTTGGAAACCTTAGAAGCCCTTAGAAATTTTGATTTGGGATGTCTTTACAAGTTTTGCATTATGTTTCTCCTTACCTAGTGTTCTGTGCAATAATTTTATTTAGCATGATTAATCAAGAACATAATTTGCCCAAAAGTACTTCGCTCCTTTACAATATGTAGTTTGAAAGTTGAATCTACAATAAAAATCTCCTTTGGCTTTTCTATCATCTTCGACATCAATATCAACAAGCACTTTACATTTATACGAGGTAAAAAAGGACGAAGCCAGTTACATATGAGCATTAAACTGCCCATCGAACAGCTGTAGCAAGATTCTATGTGAAGCCTACCCTTTCTAGACTGTGCATTGACAGTGTAAGTTTTCTTCCCAGTCCGTGGCATATTCAAGACCAACAAAGATGTTCTTTGAACCAGAAACGCGACCAAAAACTTCAGTGCAGCCCAACAAAAGCCAACAGCCAAGTAAGCCTTGTTTGAACATTGAACCACAATTGCTAACGAATTATTTAGGTTAGCATATAGCTATCTGACCAGCAGTGGCGTATAGCTTATAGTTTTGTTTCATATTGGGTGCTTGGCTCACTGGGCATATATTCAATCCCATTTACCGTTTATACCTTTCTTGAAAAGACCTGATTGCCCTAGGTTAGCCCAGCATACAAAATGAAACAAACCTAAGTATTAATTAGTAAAAATCATTTATGTGGGTTTCTTGTATCTGTGTTTTAACTTTGTTCTGTTACTTATTACTCATGTTTATGGCTGCGGAGTTGTCAGGGTATTGTCCTTGTAGTGTAGTCAAGTAGATTCTACATAGTATATTGATTACAGTTGCTTGCAGTATAGTAGCTTTTAATTGTAAAATTGTATATTGAATATAAAATAATATCTGTTCCATGTTGCAAAGCATGTTGCTGTAAACAACAAGCAAACAAATTAAGACTACATAGAAGACTACATAGCAATACCTAAATCCACAAATGTTAAAGATTTTTATCAACCCTGTATAGTTGTGCCTGGTTATTGTAATGGTGGTGATTACGTCTCTTATTAGCTTTTAAACATTTTTTATCTTTTATAAACCATAGAACAACGAGCTTCAGTTGCTTATGTGCCAGGGTACCCTCCTACATACCAAGACATCCTGAGAGAGGTTTGTTTCTTTGACTGTTCACCTGTGATAATTTAGAATCAATATTTTTTGCTATTACGTCTAACAGCTGTTGTTCTTTAGACATATGGCTCAATTCTGAATGGATCTCTGTACCACTGAGAAATTAATAACGCTTCATTGCACCAACAGCTTCTTACGGAATGTGTATTGTGGAACCTCGATGTATCCAACCCATCATGTAACACATTTTCTGTAATAATACTCTAAGCAAACGTTCCCCTTAGTACTTCTTATGGTTTTACTTGAAGTCTTGGTTTAAAGAGTTCCCATTATAACAATATTCTTTCTAGCTCCTCAAAAAGTTTGTTTTACTGGGATTCTACTGTAACTCCAAAGCCTCAGGAAATCCATCGCAATTTAACTTGCCAACAAGGAAGCAAGGAGTTGAATGTGGTAATGCAAATTTGTCTACTGCATGCTGGCAAGAGGTATCATAGCACTGAAATTTGGATAATAACCAAAAACTAAAGAGAAATTTCAGATCAGGTGAAGGTCGAAAGTAAAATGAGAGAAAGAATGGCCTGTTCATTGGTGCTTCGCTTATGACCAATCAGCAATCATGAAGTACCCTTTGCAAAATTGATGTGTCCAAGAAATTTTGGCATTTTTTTATGATTGGTAGCATAATTGTCATTTGAATGTTTAATGTACTGTTGTAGGGACCAAGAAATGAAGTGAGACGCAGGCATTTTTCAACTGGTACCACCCAAAATGGAGAGAAAAAAGGATCCCCTTCACTGCAACAAACCATTGACCGACCATCAGTCATTTCATTCCCATCACCAATATCAAAAGGTAATCTCTATAACATTTGCATAGCATCAATGTGAAGTTTTCAATTTTTTTTCTTTATTCAACTCTTTGCTTACTGCTCTAAAACACTTGTAATTAACAGGTATGAAATCTGTAAGAAACAGGAAAAATTGTGTGTTGCAAAATGGACAATCTCAAAATTTGTTTAGCATTGCTTCATCAATTATACAGACTAGTTTGGACAAAGTTTCATCAAATTGGGGATGAGTTATCAGAAAAAGGAATTATTGAAATTACCAATTTACCAATAAACGCGATCCATGTCATAAGGAGAAAATCCACGCCAAAAGGAGAAAGAAAACACAGACCAATCAAAATCAAACGTGATTAATCGCAATCGGTAGAAAAAAGCAGCTTCTACCGCCTAAGCCAATCAGAAGTCTGCATTTTCCCAAAAAATCGCATGACAGTGATATTGGCGCTAATCCTGATGACAGCGCATGGACGGGTGATAATCCTGCTTGATGCCTTTGATATTCCGCCTTCGCGGCAAAACACTGCATGCAACACAAAAAGCGTTTTTGACTTTTTCTACAGGACTTCGGGCGTGCTCTCGCGACACTTTCTATGCAGAGGGGAGGAGTTTTTGGGTGGTAGTCGCCCCACTTTCATGAAAAATCGGAATGTTTCGGTGAAACAAATCCTATGTTAGTAAACGCTTTAAGTTAATTCCATGAAATTATTAAAAAACTTATATTGGAAATTTCGATTATAAAACGAAATGAGGCATTACCTGGTTACTGTAAGGTTAGCAGCAATCTCAACTCCTTTCTGTCCTTTGTATGAGCTTTAGGCTTTGCACCACATTAACCAAACCGTTTTCGCGCCAAATCCCATGCACGTGTTTGCAGTCTTCCCGCGAAAATTTTCGCTATTTGGCATTGAAAATCTTGTAAAAATTATTTAACAAATAATCCGATGGTTGGTATGGTCCTTCCTGTAAGTTACTCATGTTTTCCTTGGTGTTTTGTGAGAATTAACATGATGCGAATTGCTGTTACCATCGATCGCATGGTGTAGCCTGCGACACAGACCAAATCGAATGCATTCGATTTGGTCTGTGTGGCAGGCTACACCATGCTATCGCGGCTGGCAGCATGTTGAACAATCGGCCATTGATGGCTGTTGACAGCTTAACAGCTTTGAAAAAAACGGAGACACCGTTGTGTATCCTCCGCTGGCTACGGTTGCCTTGAATCCAGGCGAGAAAAATTGCGAAGAGCCCCGTCTACGAACTAGGGTCAAAGTTAGAGTCCTGCTATAAAGGGACGTAAAAACGTAGAAGAACACTTAAAAGGACTTCAAGAAATGAAAATTTTTTTGAAAACATAGAAGAATATTAATGATCAAATATTGTATAGTTATTATTCTTGTGAACATTTATATACGGGAAAAATTGTTTTTCTAACTTTCGAAAAGATCAAAAGTGTACCCTGAGCATCTCTATAATGGGTTTTCCAAAGTAAGAACCGTTTCAATTTAGTTTTCATTATATAATTTACACTTTGAAGAAATGTTAAAGTCAAAAAAACTGTGGTCTAATTTGCTAGTCCTTTTAGTTTTACACTAACTTGTGACAATAACAAGCTCTTCCTGCAAAAGGCTATTGAATACCAAGGACAGCGGTTTATATCACAGATTGGAGGAGCTAAAGCGTTTTTTTAGGGAGGGGGGGAGGGGGCTAAAGATGCTAAAAACTAAGAGCAGATTGGGGCCAACTTTTTGTTTGGTTTTAAATATAATTTGGGAATTATTGGGGGCTATTTGATTTTTTCTTAAATTAGAATGAGCATTTTCAGTTGCGTTCGCTAGTGGTAATTATCATGACATCTAGGGAAATTTTGGCATTTGTGTGCCGTATTTTTTGGAATACTTTTGTGGGTCAGGGTATGCTTTTGGCAAATTTTTATAGGACAGGGTTAGGGTGCAAAAAGGTTTCCCGCACAGCCCCCTTGTCATTTTCCTAGTCAGGTCCCCCCACCCTCTGGGAATCTATCTATGTGATATATGCTAGCCCTGCTATATCCGGGTTCATAATTTGCAGGAGCACAGAATTTTGATTTGTTTTATTAGCTTTTGGAAGAATTCTAGACTGATGACATTTCTTACTTCGGCGGGTATATCATTCACAACATCTGGATTTTGGTTACTGTTAGTGGATCCGAGTTATTTTTCAGCAGTTTTATTACTCTTTTTACAAAAACAATTATTTAAGAACACGAGCCTCAAAATTTGTCAAATGTCAAGAACAATAATGTGAAATCACCCTTAAAAAGTTTATATAAAAAACGAAGAGTTTTTTGCCATCTAGGGGTGCTTTTTGGGTGAACTTTCAAACTTGTCAGCAAATAGCGCCTGTCGCACCAATTTTGTTGGCAAATGAGGCCTGAACTCCGATAATTCAAGAAATAATTTAGAACAATCCTGGAGCAAATTTTCGAAAAAATTAAAAACATCCAGGCTGAATTTCAATTTGCCGGTTCTTAAGGAAAGTTTTTTTAATTTATAGATATCTAGACCGAGATCCGATTTTACAAGGCATTGTCATATTTTAGAAACACGGCACGACTAGTGTAAAATGTGGCCAGAGAATGGCTTTTAAACATCACAAAGTCATTTTCAGATAGACTAACAAAAGTTTGGCATCTGGCAAATAATCTTCCCACTTACAATTATGGTGCAAAAAGTGTGAACGGGAGAGGGTCAGAAAATATTTTTGGGTGCTCTTCGTGGCTATGAATCCCCTTCTCGGGGTTTTCCAGTATAACTGTGTTTTCAAGGCATCGAGAAAGCTTCCTTGCAATAATGGAGTGGAAATTGCAATAGAATGACGTCATAAAAATATTTTTCTATAAATTTCGAATTCTGATCACATAACCTGAAAAAGCATCGTAAAATACCTCTAAATATGAAAAATCAGTTAAAAGTGTTACGAATTGACAGAGTTATGGTCAGATGAGCACAGGCTCTTGCCCCATCAAACCTCTTTAAGTTGGTCTCTGTTCATAAACTTTATGAACAGAGCCAAAATAACGGTGATCCGTTAGCAAATTTCAAATCTTTCATTTGCTATATCTCATTCAGTTTTTGACTCATTGGCCTGATTTTGCATATTTAGAAGTAATTGATAGAGTTCTTCTATGTTCTTTGATCAAAATTCAAAAATTATGAAAATAGTTTTCTTGTGACGTAACACTTAGAACTCAATGCCGTTAATAGTCGTGCCACAGATGTTGCGAGCGCTTGGATACGCCGACGAAAGACACTTGGATACGGTCTTGCTACGCTTTAATCAGTGGATTAGTCGTGAAGATTTAGAAAGTTTAACAGCAAAGTTAAAAACAAGTCAAGGGCTTTATCAGGGGCGGACACTTGGTGAAATATTGGGGGGGGGGGCAAGCCTATTGTTTCAATAAGATGAAATCACATTTCCCAATGTCTTAGAACAAAAGACCACTGTTCTCCAAGGTATTGGGGGCGACCGCCATCGAAAACCTTAATTTTTTGTCTCTGTTTATAACCTACCATAACATAACCTGTTTGGCAGATTTAAAAGTATTTCATGTTGTCCTTTCAGGTTATATGGTCAATTTTCAAAAATTCTAAAAATTGTTTTTTTTTTAAATGAGGCTTTGCTTGTTATGGCAGTTCAGGTCTTTTGGGTGGGTGCTAAATATCTTGAACTCAGTTGACTAACTTCACGCTCAATTGAACCTTAGGTGAGACAAGTAATAAATGTCAAGAAAACTTGATTGGACATTAGCTTTGTATCTAGAATTATCTTAATATTTAAGAAGCAAAGCCTCACTATGGTTTTCGATGGCGGTCGCCCCCAATACCTTGGAGAACAGTGGTCTTTTGTTCTAAGACATTGGGAAATGTGATTTCATCTTATTGAAACAATAGGCTTGCTGTTATCCCCTGTGGACAATAGTATTAAAATATGTGCATAAATCATATCTAGCCTCTATTCCAGTTAGCACGTGTTGTAAGTCAGTTTTTTGTATGTACGATTATGATGAAGATAAATATATTTTGAAGTCATTTTACGTCTCAATATTTGGTTTACTACACTGGTGACAGGAGCGATTTGACCCACATCATTTTACAATGTCATCCTTTAACATAATTTTTTCAAAACTTGAGAAGTTCACCGGCGACGGGGACATAAATTTGCACCAATGGCTTCGTAACTTCAACAGATGTTGTGTTATTGTCGAGAAATCTGACGACCTCGTGGTTGGCCAAATTCTAATGCTTTGTGTTGATGGCCGTGCTAAAGCCATCTTGGATCAATTTGAAGATGAGAAAGGCAGTCCCCAGAAATACAGCGAGCTTAAGGAACAACTTGCCGCGGTTTTCGATTCAGAAACCGATCGCGAAGCTCACATGACTGCATTCGAACGCTGCATTCAAAAGATCGATGAAAGTGAAGAAGAATTCATGACCCACCTTTTACAGTTATTCAGAGCCGCCAATCCAAAAGCCAAAACTGACATTATAAACCATGCGGTGAAACGCAAGTTTTTACAAGGGATTTCTGATACACTTCGCAGAAATATATTCATCTTTTGCACCAACCCGTATGATGACAAAATTACCCATCAAGATTTGCTCAAGGCTTGCCGCGATGCATCAGTTCATCTTTCCTTACCATCTGCGATAATCAACGGTGCTATTGTCACTGGCCCTTCTGATGCTGTTTTAACTGCTGCAAATCCATCTGATACAACACTGGACGCCATTCTTGCCTTGTACACCAAATTTGAGCAACAAAGTCAACTCACAATGCGGAAGCTTGATGAACAACAAGACCAAATCAATGCACTCAACCGTCAACTTCCGTTTAGGCCCTCACAGCAACTTCAACATCAGCATGGTGCCCCTGTTTTTTCTGCCCCGCAGAGCAACCGTAGGCAATCACGCAATGGTTTTCAACGCAATTTTGGCAGGGATTTTCAGCCTCGAAACGCAAGGCCAGA